CGAAGTACCCAACAAAAGGCGGAAGCTTTAATTTTTCACCTAACTGGTCTAGACGACAATGACCATGTCTCAAGTTATATATATATATAGGTGAAAAATTAACGCTTCCGCCTTTTGTTGGGTACTTCGACAAAAATTTTAAGCAAAGAGGACTCTTTATACTTTTTTATTCTCTCTAGCTTTCAATGGACTTTGCCATCATCATCAGGAGCTGCAATTACATTGATAACAGTAGTTTTCTAATAAACTAATAATTTTTCAGTATCCTTAATCTAATTCAATAATAATACCGTAATTCAACATATCGAACAAGTGATAAAATCAGAATAGTAAAATATCTTATATTGTGAGTCGTCAGGCAAAAAAACTGAATACAACAAAATCAACAGTTCATCCAAAACTGATGTGTATCCCATGAATATTTTTTGTGTACCTATATCATAAACGAGCTCAGCCTACATTACTGCTTGCTCAAACGCAACAACAATAACGATATGTCGCAAGAAGTATATTGCCATGTAATTATTGTAGTTAAAATAAAACAAACAGTATCAGTGTTTGTTCACCTTGTTCCTCTAAGCAAATAGTGATTTTTTTGTTTTACGTTAACAATCACGTACCCGCTACTTGAGAACTGCAAATTGAAAACTTTTTAAATGTTTATCGTTGAATCTGATTTCTTTTTTACAAGGCAACGTACAAGGTCTAGTGTTATCGTGTCTCGCTATCAAAATTCTCCATTTATTCTGTATTGTACGTCCTCCCCAGTGATCGCTCAGGTCAGCTGGGCCCACAATTAACACCAGTTATGTTATTACTGATGCCAAGCTGCAGTCTAGCGCTGTTCTCGTTGTAGGCTTACAACACTTGAGAGTCTGTATTGATTGTCTGCTCTCCGTGTAGCTCCTATTTTTACCTGTGACATTTCTATAGGCAATTTTCTTTGCGGCTAAAGTTCCGGTGGTATGTTTGTCCATAGCAACAGCTATGCGGAATGACGTAAGCTGCAGCGTCAGCGTAGCTAGAGGCTGCCCCCGGGGCGGAGTTTTGTCACCCCTACTGTGGTGCATCGTGGTGAACGAACTCCTCGTTAGGCTCAGCAGTATCGGTGTCTGATGGCCTTGCATTAGAACTGAGACCAAACTCAGAAATGGAGAAGTATCTCCAGACATTGAAGTGCCAAGTGCTGAGGATGGACGTTTCTGCTTATCTCTGGATCGAGCCAACGTAAGGTTGCTGGTGGGACAGTTGTCGGCCATAACACGTTAAGGCGCTACCTGCACGTGATGGGGGTGGCTGAGGATCCCTTGTATGAGCTTGGACTCAAGGCGATTCTCAACTTCGCTAAAAGGGCGAGGCTTGTGATCTAAGGGATGTAGAGGTGCATAAGGGCCCGTTTGAGCGGCCTATGCACTGGCTCCTTATGGTGACCGGAATGCCTGTAATTTCACGATTCATTCATTGTCTATAGACCACTTGTAGTTCTTGCGGAGGCTGCTAGAGTATAAATGATGATAAAACTATCTGTCAGCCCGGAGAAGTTACATGTCAGTAGTTGCGGTAATACCGTTTACCAACGAAATTCTCCACTTTAACTGAGTTTGATATAATTTTTATACAATAACCATATTATTTATTTTAAATATGTTCGGTGTCACAAGTCCCACTGCGCCGCAGGCAATAATAATCATACGTAATAGCAAATGCATAATAATTGTATATAAAATTTATGTTGAATTGTCGTTTAGTTATACGCAGGTCATTGAACTAGCTTTTATACTATTATACTTATATCTGATCAATGTATTTGCCACGCATGGTGACAAAACTTTAGCTAGTCTTTTTTGTAGCACTGCATACATAATATACAGTGCTTTTCAGAAATCCCTCCACTTTACTTTTTGAACTGGTCAAGTTAGCTAGCTGAAATTTGGGGTAATGAAGTTGATTTATGTAGTTTCAAGAGGCTAATATCCAACTATCACTTTTACGCTAAAATACAGTACTCATGCATCAATTTCTTCATCTCGAATTTCAGCTCGCTTTTTGAAAAGCACTATACAGGGTGTACCAGAAATAACACGCCAGAGTGACACGGAAGGTAGACTGGCTTCAGATCAATCAGATAAAATCAACATGACCTTAGTAAAACTTCTCTAGTTTTCGAGATATTGAAACTTTCAAGTTTTTTCAAAAAATTGCTCCTTTTTTGCCTGTTATGGCTATAAAAAACTCGTATGATTTTTTTCTGGGCTACATTGAGACAACCGAGTATCCATTTCAATGAAAACTAGCACGGTACGCTAAAGAAAATTATTACATTCGATTTCAATGCGATTTCAAAGTTTTACTAAATACAGTGAAAAAAATTTACGAGACTGAATCAGCAAATGACCTTAAAAATTAGCTATTTGATGCTCTTTCAAAAATAGTATAACATTTAGGTTCTTTTTACTGAAAACTGAATAATTCCAAGTTTTGTCATTGAAGTAATACTTGCGAAATACTACAATAATTTTTGTACCCAAATTACAACTTTGTAGTTTGCTGTAATCGCTTTTTATTATATCAAATGTCTAAAACAGATATCCGTTATGCTTTTTTATCCATTTTTTATACATTCATCAGAATAATGAACAGAACATTCAGCTGGCACCTGCCCAGCGCAACGACAGCAACTACAAAGTTGTAATTTCGACACAAAAGACGCTAGATTCATTATTTATTTGTAGTATTTCGCAAGTATTACGAGTTCAATCGCAAAACTTAAATTATTCAGTTTTTAATAAAAAGGACCTACACATGTTATACTATTTTGAAAAGAGCATTCAATAGCTAAATTTGGTCTGGTATATATATTTTTTTTCATAGTACTTAGAAAAACTTTAGTAAAGGTTTTCGCATTGAAACCAAATGTAATTATTTATTTTTTAGCATTCCGTGCTAGTTTTCAATGAAATAAATACTCTATTCATGGTAGCCCAGGAAAAAATCATAAATTAGAAGTTCTTTATAGCCGTAACAGGCAAAAAAAGGAGCAAAAATAGTGATTTTTTTATAAACTTAAAAGTGGCAATATCTCGAAAACTAGAAAACTTTTACTAAGGCTATGTTGGTTTTATCTGATTATCTGAAGCTAATCTACCTCCCGGGTCACTCTGGCGTGTTATTTGTGGGACACCCTGTATATGATAAGCTGAAATTTAAAACCTTTTTTTTTGGTATAAACATCAATGAAAAAATATGCAACCACATGCATGTTGGTTAAACACGAATTCGCAACAGAGAAACAAATGTAAAAATACCCTTTATTTAACAGCTAAGGTCCCATTCGTCCTTGACATTTCATTTTATCCAATTCTATCAAAACATAAATAATTACAGATAGTGAATATTTTTTCAGATAATTATTAACACTATAATTATTAACGCTGTATAACTTTGGCACTTATAACCAAAACGATGGGGTGATAGTTTTTGTAAGAAATAAACTGCAATATAATCATGATACATTCACTTTCAGCGATGGAATCAAAATTTTAAACATACTGATCCAAATTAACCATAACAAAATTGAGGTATCTGCAATTTATCGTCCGCCATGTTCAGAACCCCACGAGTTTTTAAAGAATATCGAATTTTTTTTTCAAAATCAAAATAAAGTTCATTTAAAGCAACATATTTTCTTGGGAGATGTCAATATAAATATTTTGGACGATGATCCCATCACAAATGAATACTTGAATATCCTATCAAGTAACGGATTTCTATCCTATATTAACCTACCTACAAGGTCCATCAGTGGCACATGTATAGATCACTGCTTTGTGAAAGACCTATCCAACAAAATTACTTGTATACCAATAATCCTACAAAGCGATATTACTGACCACTTCTCCACTATTTTACTGATATCTTCAAATGAAAAACATTCTAACATCCCTACCGTTAATAACAACCAGAAAAATTACAAATTTTTTGTCGACAATTCAAAACTAATATCAAATGTCAAACAAGAATCCTGGGAACAATTATACTCTATAAATAATATAGACAAAGCAATGGGACTGTTCATAGAGAAAATAAAAAAACTAATAGATATTAGTACCAATAAAGTAATAATTAGTCACAAAGAGAAAAGCAGAAATGCCTGGTTACCAAAGGATTAATAACATCGGCAATAGAAAAAGAAAGACTATATAATGTAATGAAACTAACGCCAACTACAGAGAATACCGACTGCTACAACCAATATAAAAATAAATTTATAGAGCTTGTAAGGCAAACCAAACGAAAACATTACCTAAATAAATTGAATAATAACTTAAATGATCCTAAGCGGCTTTGGACAACTATTGATGAGATTACTGGGAAAACAAAAGTTAAAGAGTGTGTCACTGAGTTAAATTCAACATCGGGAATAGTATTAAAAAATACTCAACAGATATGCGATGAATTTGTACAATTCTTTACTGACATAGGCGAAAATTTAGCAAGTAATATACAAGCAAATGTACAAAATACTCAGCCTCCAAAAAGAACTTTGAACTCATTTATTTTGGATAATGTCGAGCAATGTGAAGTATACACCCACTGTTATGTCCTTAAAAAATCGGAAAAGTCCTGGGTTCGATGGTATTAAAAGCGAGCATTTGAAAATTATAGCCGAGGACATAACAGAACCACTCACTTACCTAATCAACAAATGCTTTGAATCCGGCATATATCCCTCAATTTTAAAAAAAGGTAATATAATACCGATACATAAATCAGGAATTGGTCCATGTACAGGCGATGCCTTCTATTGGGCCTCTTTTGATTTTATATTTATTTACTCATATTGTTTGTTATCTTTGTACATTGAGTGAATAAATATTATTATTATTATTATTATTATTTCTCAAGTGGAGAGCGAGTAATCTATATAAAAAATTTTATGAAATGTGAAAAAGCAAATAGTACCAAAAATATCAATTTTGATTATTTTATTTTTGTTGCAGGTTATATTAATACGAATACTTTCACATCGTTGCAACTGCATGGTGAGTACAGTTTTTTTTGCTCTAGGTATGATAGAAATAGTTCAGGCTCAACTGTGCACATGTACACATTATCTAAATGTGTATGTGTATATCTTTGACCTACATACTATATGATAAAAAACAGTGTTACGTATGTTAATAAAGGATCATGTTTGGCAAAAATTAGTCCCTCTGCGAGAACAGTTACGGACATGATAAACGGATCAAGTCAAGATAGACATTTTTTCCCTGTCCTACCGGTATACCGTCCACCTGGCAACGTTGCCCCTCCCCATATCCCCAGACGCAACAGCGCCCACCCGATCACCGCCACAGTACGTGAACAAACATCCAAAAAACACAATATCTCATTTTCGAACATTTTGCAAATTCAGTAAAAAGGCTTCAGGTGACCGAAACGACAGTAAAAAGTTGATCCTACATGGCTAGAAAGTATGGAAATTGGTAGAATTACACTCTTATAAGAACTGACAGTAAAATGAACGACTAGGTATTTCCTTTTGACACCTGATCCTGTGATGCAAACTGATATTGTGTATGTACGAGGGTTGTTCAAGTGAAACCCATCTTTGGTCAAGTTAGCCTTGGAAACAATTCTAATCACTTAACTGACGTTTTGCAATGTTAATTGTTTGTAAACGTCATAAATATAATCAGCTTGCGAATGGGCTTTTTTTCTCACGGAATGCAAGCAAAACTGCAATGACTTTTTTTCGTCAATAATTGCTGGCGAAGAATCTTGGTGTCATTATTTTGAACCATCCAGTAAGCTGTCATCGATGCAATGGAAACTCGCAAACTCTCCGCCACCAAAGAAGTCATGTTAACATTTTTTTTTCGACCACGGAGGACCCTTGCTCGTAGAGGTTAAAGCCTTAGAGTCCAAATAAACGCAAATCTGTATAATGAAACTTTGAACAATCTCCATCGAGCAATAAGACGAAAACGTCCAGGGAACCTCTCACGTGGTGTCATTCTTCTGCACGTCAATGCTCGGCCTCATGTTGCCAGAGTAGCGAAAGAAAATCTACAACGAAGCAAATGGAGGATATTAGAGCATCCACCCTTTAGTCCCGATTTATCGCCTTGCGATTTTCACATCTTTGGACCACTGAAAAAGGCGTTGAAGGGTAAACATTTTCAGTCAGACGAAGAAGTACAAAATGCCGAAAAGAATTCTTCAAGCAGCAGCCACAAGAATTGGTGAAACAATGGGATATTGGTACTGTTGCGTAGAACTTCTGATTTCACTGTTTTTTCACATGAAACTTATATAGGGTAGTCTGATAGATTATTTTAAAGCAAAAAAGTGTGGATGAGAATCTTTTCCCAAAAACCGGAATTTTTAGCACCATTATTTCAACCATCACCTGTGATATGACATCTGTGCATATGTCATAAGAGATGTGCTTGCCTGCGGTGTTGCCGGATTGGGCTCCGCATTTAGAGAAAAATATGAAAAGTGGAAAATTTATATACATATATATATATAACTTGAGACGTCTAGACCAGTTAGGTGAAAAATTAAAGCTTCCGCCTTTTGTTGGGTACTTCGACAAAATTTAAGCAAAGAGGACTCTTTATACTTTTTTAATTCTCTCTAGCTTTCAATGGACTTTGCCATCATCATCAGGAGCTGCAATTACAATGATAACAGTAGCAACGATAGTGTAAAATGAATTTAAATTGACTCAACTTACAGTAGTATGTGAGGATGTTGCTAATTGTTGTTTACGTATAGGATGAGGGAAACGTCCAGTAACATGGTGAGAGCTGGATAGATGGTACAATGGTCAAAATTATATAAAATATGACAAGAACAAGTTAAAAACAGATTAAAAATTATTTAAAAACATTAAAGCATTACATCGTGAAGCCACTTGATGATTGCACAAAATGGTGGTCATGGAATAATATATATATAGAAAATTATCATAACAAAAAATAGGAAAATAACGGGCAAAATCCGCAAAAAGAAGGAAAGTGGATTCGAGCAGAAAATAGGATAGGTAACCCGAGCGATACGTATTTCTGCTGGTTGGCTTCATCAGGCCCGAAATGAATGCACATATGCAACTACAAAAGTAAATACACATGCCCATAAAAAAATTACACACGAAATCCTTAATAAGAGCCAACCTACACATTGTAGTATAAACAGGCTAAAAGACCTCGAATTTTCAATATATACAGGGTGACTTTGAAGTTGAGTCATTAATTTTCAGATAATGATTGTAGAAGGAAGATAAACGAAAATATGTGTGTAAAAATAAAAAAAAATTAAACAAATTTTTTTACCTTGTTTTATAAAGTATCCTCCCGACAAGCGTATTTCAGTGCGGACCTGTATTTGATCGTGAGGTCTTGGAGCACCGGCATGCAGAGTCCCCTGTGTGGTCTTAAGTCACCTGATTCACGAGCCCGTTGTACTACATTAACAAAGGCACGAGGCGTTGGTTGCACTCGATTGGGAAACCGATCCGCATAAACATGTGCCATTTTTTATTTCGTTTTGAGCCACGCAACAGACACCACTATTCAAACGCGTTACCGACTGACACTGACTGTATACAACTGACTAAAATAATTGTAAAAACATCGTTCCAAATTCTTTCGCTTTTTTGTTTCCGATGCGATGAACCAAACACGAGCACATAATATTATTATTGAGACAGGGCGGTACTCAAACTTCCAAAGGGCTATAACTTTGTTACTTTAATTTTACCAGAAAAATGGTAAAGGAAAAAAACATTTCTTTTGATCAGATCTACTCACTGTTAAAATAAATGACTCAACTTCGAAGTCACCCTGTATATATATATATATATAAATTTTCCTATTTTTGTTATATATATATATTAATTAAACAAAATAACGAAAAAGGAACAAAAAACTAAAATAGCTCAGTAGTAAATTAAAAATGGATTCCTAATAATTATGGGAAAAATGTGCATTATGAAGAATATAAGAAAGAGAAAGGATGGCAAGCCTGTACCTTGATCCTTGATACCCAGCTTTGAAGCAGGAACTGTGAGGTGGTGAATGATCACTTCTCATACCTACCTATGTATGTGTTCAAAAATATATTTTGCTACTACCTCATAATACCCATTTTTTTTAAATTATCCCCTTAATCCTTTTTTAATTTACTGCTGTGTTATTTTAGTTTTTTTGTTTCTTTTTCGTTATTTTGTGTGATTAGTATATGTATATGAATTTTCCAGTTTTCATATTTTTCCCTAAATCCGGAGCCCAATCCGGCAACACCGCAGGCAAGCGCCTCTCATATATGACATATCCACAGACGTCATATATGGCAGATGGCGGTGAAAATAATAGGGGAAATAGCTACTAAAGATGCTGCGTTTTGGGAAAAAAATTTCATGAAAAGCGTGCTTCATCCACATTTTTTTTGTTTTAAAGTAATCTATCAGACTACCCTCTATGAGTTTCAAGTGAAAAAATAGTGAAATCCGAAGTTCTACAAGGCGCAACAGTACCGGGATAAGTGCCTTAATTGTAGTGGTAATTATTTGTAGATATATTTGCCACTACATTTTTTCTGGGCCAAATATGGGTTTCAATTGAACAAGCCTCGTATATTATACATATACGTCGGTACATATCCATTATTCATCGATATTGAAGAACTCGGGTCTATAAATGAACTGCACCAAAGGAAACCTGAGCAATATTATTTTATGAACGTTCATTTTCACAAAGTAACCAGGGCCGTTTGTAAGGTGTTCAGCATGTTGACGTGTATGTATGTATGCGTACAATAAACTGGGTGAGCGAATCAAAACGACTTAATTTTTCTTCCGCACGCTTGTATTGGTTACAGTACAGCCGAACGAAAATGCTTCGATATTTATAAATCGAGAAAGATAAAACATAATATCAAAATAATTTCACACATCGCCGCTATTACTTGGAGTTAATTTCCTTAACCATAAAAATCAGAAATCAATTGAAAGCATAGTAATTTTATGACAAAGTTAGCAAATGCAAACAGACGGAAAATAGAGGAAATACGCTAAATATTCATAATAATACTTCTTGCGCCTATGACGTTGGAAATAAAATTCAACATATACGGCTAGATACAAATCCACCCTATCAAGGAGTGACTTAAAGTTGCAAGTTTACCGAGCGCTACTTCCTATTAAACTTTCCAAATGCGCTTTAACCTTCTGCTCTATTTTATCGACCTTTTCAATTCTAAAAGGAACAATGCAGAGGCGATACAAATGAGTAATTGACCGTCGAGTGCTTGTAGAAGTCGATCGGGTTAGTGAGCATGCGCAGTATAGGGTATTTTAGCGACAGGGCGGTCATGGTTTAGGGCGCCGAGCGGCACAGGGGCGTGTTGCCCCAGATTGCGATATTGCACTCTGTTCTATATCCATACGTTCGCCTTAAACGAGATATACTGTGACATTAGAAAGGTGACACCCAGAAAAAATAATTTCTTCAACTTGTTTTTTCAGCAAGATAATGGCTATATTTAAAGCATGCTGTGGTAACAATGTTTGTTTTTGTTTACCTTTGTTAAAATGTCATCTCTTAGGTTCTCTGGAGCAAGCACTTTCTGAGAGAGATATTTTTAGTTATTGCCCTTTTACTTGCTAGTGTTAAGCTAACAAAATGCCTCGAGTTCGGAAACGTCCAAATTATCACCATGTTAGCGACTTTGACAGGGGTAGAATATTGCCTATCGAGATGTTGGTTTGTCCTATCGCGAAATTGGCCGCCGTGTTAATTGTGCTGCAATGACGGTACTGCGTGTGTGTCATGTGTGGATAGAAGACGGTAGAGGAACACGAAGAAGGCCAGCTGGTCCACCGAGGTGTACCACAAAGCGTCAAGAAAGGCGGCGTGACATTGGATTTGCTGTTGGACTGTTGGAGTAATGGTTTGGGGGGCTATTGCCTATGGTAGCCGATCATCTCTTCTCTGCGCGTTATGTTGATTAAGTCCTACAAATCACGTTACTGCCATATCTAGAGGGAAGTCCATACGTCCTTTTTCAGCAAGATAATGCGCGTCCCCATATTGCTCGTCGTACTACGAACTTTCTGCAAGAAGCAGGCGTTGTTTTGCCGTGGATTTAAATACCATCGAACATGTGTGGAATATGATGGGTTAGAGGCTATCCACTTTGCACCATCCGCCACAGACTCTGCCACAACTAATCCACGAAGTTCGAGTTGCTTGGAATGAGGTGCCACAACCAGACATCGATCATATCATTTTGTCGATGCCTAGACGTATACAGGGGTGTATTCAGCTGCGCTGACAATAAAATTTCGTGAGAATGTTACCGTTTCATTCTCGATGTACGACTATCCCATTGCCAAAAAATTAAGATGAAGAAATTATTTTTTTTTTAGGTGCAACACAGAGTTTGGTTGATTTATATGGAATACTTAGTTCAATTCTCCATCGTCAAAAATACCGTCAAGTAGGTGGACTCAGTACCTCACACGCAACGCTGTTATCAGTTCATCAAGTATTATATTCTGCACAAGTGTGCTTCTCTTGAGAAAAAAGTTGTTACGGACATGCGTAACAAAGAATTAAACGAACCAAGTCAGCCAAACAGCCCCGATACCGACAGTACCGACCATCTGGCAACGTTGCTATGACCAACCTCATCCATCGCCCACACCCAGAGACCACAGGCGTGTGTTAAAAATATTTTGCTATCATTCTAAATTCATGATGTGTGAAATATGTCTTGTAGTTGCGAGGAATTACCGGGATTGTAAGCGAAAAATTGAGACATATTCTCCGTGAAAATAAAATAGAAATCTGAGCGGTACTCAGTTATAGACGTGCCAAGGATTAGCGGACAGACAGTATTTTCTATTTGAAATTGCACACTTAAATTATTTTGTAATAGTGAATGAGGGTGGCATTTCTGAATTGCAGGCAAATCGCCATACTTTCCAGGGTTGGAAGAACAGGCTGGTCCCGTTCTGTTGGAAGAACCCAACCATTTAGTAGATAACACTCTGGGCACACAGCCACTCAGCTCACCATCAAGATCTTCGCCCCATTCGCAGGGCTCTGAAGGAGGGGAGAGGTTTTCTAGGAAAGTTTTCGTTGGAGGGCTGCCTCCAGACATAGATGAAGATGAAATCACTGTTAGTTTTAGAAGATTTGGACCGTTGGTCGTCGACTGGCCACACAAGGCTGAAAGCAAGTCATATTTCCCACCAAAAGGATACGCCTTTTTACTATTTCAGGTAATAACGTAAAATGTTCAGCTTTTCGTGTACATACAGGATCGGCACAGAATCATTAAGGTCCCATATTAAATGTGTATGAAAGAGAGAGAGAAAAATACGTGCTCGGCATCAAGTCGTTTCTCTATCTCGCTCGTACACATTCAGTAAGTGAATTCCACGATTCACCGCCGATCCTGTAGATTTATGCGCAATCCAGTCCCCAAAGCTGGTCGCGATCGACCTAACTCTTGATTTTTTCTGATTTCAGGACGAAAATTCGGTACAAAGTTTGATAGACGCATGTATAACGGACGAAGACAAATTATATTTGTGCGTATCGTCACCAACAATCAAAGACAAGCCAGTACAAATAAGACCATGGCGACTGTCAGATGCCGATTTCGTCCTGGACGCCTCGATGCCATTGGACCCTAGGAAAACCGTATTTGTTGGAGGTGTGCCACGACCACTGAAAGCAGGTAACGCACAATCAAACACTCGAATAATTCCATTGTTGACAATTTTCATTATCTGAAAATAATCAAAAGAGCCATGCCCCGTTTTAGGCCATTGGCAAACCATCGACTTCGCAAACAGTGATAAAATATAACTTAAACTCGAGCTTTCGAAGATCTATGTCTTCATCGTCTGGAGCTGGAAAAAATTATTGATAATAGCAACAAATTAACAATTAGGAGGAAAAATAGTTACTAAGTCGGCGAGATTGTTGCTGAAATTGTTTTTAAACAACAGTGAGTAGTCGACGAATAAAATGAATATTAAAATAATATATGAAAGCAACATCTATAAAGTTTTGAAAATAACTTTGTACTTCATCGGTCAATAATAGCACAACCTTTTGCACTATATTACAAAACTACCTACATAGTAGGCAACACACGTCACAGTTACGACACAACGAAAGATGAAATCTCGAAGAAATTTTCAATAGTTGATAGTTTTCAAATTTTCAAATTTCTTCCAAAAACCAATCAACGTTTAAGTAAAAAACCTTTTCAAAACTAAAAAAAAACATAGCTATGATTTGCCATTTAATAATAAAATAATTCCGTCCTAATCGAACCTCAATCAGTCCAGCTTTTTATTCGTCGACTATGTGTTCCCTTCACACAATTTGAGCAAAAATCTCGCCGACTTAGTAACTATTTTTCCTCCTAATTGTCAATTTGTTGCTATTGTCAATAATTGTTTCCAGCTCCAGAGGATGAAGACATAGATCTTCGAAAGCTCGAGTTTAAGTTATAAGAGTGTACTTTTGCAAATCTTTGCCTTCTACCCAAAGAAATTCAAGAATATATATATATATATATATAAAAATAGAAAAGGATCACGTGGAGAAAGGTATATAACAAATAAAAAAATAATGGGCAAAATCCGCAAAAACAAGAAAAGTGAATTCGAGCAGAAAATAGGATAGGTAACCCAAGCGATACGTATTTCTGCTGGTTGGCTTTGTCAGGCCCGAAATGAATGCAACTACAAATGCCCATACATCCGGATCGGGAGTAACCTGAGGAAAGAAAGACGTATCGCTCGGGTTATCTATCCTATTTTCTGCTCGAATTTTTGTTTTTGCGGATTTTGCTCATTATTTTTCTATTTGTTATATATATATATATATATATATAGGTGAAAAATTAAAGCTTCCGCCTTTTGTTGGGTACTTCGACAAAATTTAAGCAAAGAGGACTCTTTATACTTTTTTTAATTCTCTCTAGCTTTCAATGGACTTTGCCATCATCATCAGGAGCTGCAATTATAATGATAACAGTAGCAACAAAAGTGTAAAATGAATTTGAATTGACTCAACTTACAGTAGTATGTGAGGATGTTGCTAATTGTTGTTTACGTATAGGATGAGGGAAACGTCCAGTAACATGGTGAGAGCTGGATAGATGGTACAATGGTCAAAATTATATAAAATATGACAAGACAAGTTAAAAACAGATTACGAATTGTGGGCGCGTGCCAAACGTTGCCAATATCACTTCAGATGATGTGATTTTCAGAATGTTATATATATGTCTCAAGTTATATATATATATATATAGAACGTTTATCGACGCAAACAGAATAAATTAAGTTTAAAATTTGCACGACAAATGAAATCTAGTAAATAATGATTTTTGTTGCAGTCGAATTGGCGATGATCATGGATAGGCTGTATGGAGGGGTATGCTATGCGGGTATAGACACGGACCCAGAACTGAAATATCCCAAGGGTGCCGGGAGGGTAGCTTTCAGCAATCAGCAGAGCTACATAGCGGCGATCAGCGCCCGGTTTGTCCAACTGCAGCATGGAGACATCGACAAGAGGGTGGAAGTGAAACCGTACGTCCTCGACGACCAAATGTGCGACGAGTGCCAAGGGCAGCGCTGTGGCGGGAAATTCGCACCTTTCTTCTGTGCTAACGTCACTTGTTTACAGGTACGTTTCGATTGCGGGCATTAAAATGCCAGCAGCATAAATATTTATGCTGATTGCACAACCCGGCAACCAGCATCCGTATATTTTTATAAGGGAATCCATTACTACAATAATTTTTTGATGGTATCGTTAGATTATTGCTTCCTAATAATATGTGTAAAACTATCGATTCTCTATGAAAAAGTCATAGAAATTATTTTTTTATCATTTTCCTTCTATGTAATGATATTTTTTATAATGGTTAAACTAACAACCTCGTCGGTTGTCTGTTTAGAGAATAACAAACTAATCAAACTAAATATTTAAAATGTCAATAAAACAAAAAGTCCCAGTAAAAAATGTTTAAAGTCAATTTTCTCGATACAACGATTTCGTTACACGACACCTTTATCCCCTTCAATTGTAGACTGACGATACGGCCCTAAGATGTCGCCAATTTGCGCTTATCATTAGGAAGCAATTACCTAACGATACCAACAAAACAATTTACTGTCGCCCAAAATGTAGCGTACTGGTCTACTACCCACTCCATAATTGATCGAAACTATGTTACAGTACTACTGTGAGCACTGCTGGGCTACCATCCACTCTCGACCCGGCAGAGAGTTCCACAAACCGCTGGTAAAGGAAGGTGCTGATAGACCAAGGGCTGTACCATTTCGTTGGTGTTAACGGCGGGGTTTTTAGCTTTTAATACCATACCGAACGGCGATAGCTATACACACAGCTGTCGCTTAGACAAAGTTATATAGTAGCAATTATACATATATATATATATATTTAAAGTATACATGTAACCAATAATCTTCTGTATGACGCCTGGTGGTAGCTGAAATTACCTTATTACCTAAACTTGGTCCCAAAGTGACTGTTGCAACGTGGTGTTCAGTTTTACATCTATTTTTCGGCAACGATTCCCGAATAGCCTTAAGTATCGGTACTTTCGACGTGAAATCCGATAGGAAGAAGCACATATTTCAATGATAATTTTCATTCGATGCTTTACGACGAAATTGCACCTATAATTCTGTTGCGAGTATATCAAAGCAAAGAACTCAAAACTATAGTTAGTACCTCATAGACTTAGGTACGTCTGTAATTTTGACATGTGTGATATTGTTGTGGATTGTACTGTTATATTTTGTGATTCTTTCCGAGTTCTACGCTGTATGCAACAACTGTCTAGTCAAAAATATACCCGCAGTGGGATTTTGGATGGTAATTTTACTTCATCGTAATAACTAAGTCGGGCATTTTTTACAAAAAGTCAGATAATAGAATACATAGTACAGTACATATATTAGCAATTTTGTCAACTATTCAGCGGAAGACGAAGCAATAATATTTTAGTTTCATCGTATTTGACCGTATAAATGGTGATGGTGACGATTTAAAACAGATACTAATATAACATATAACATACTTTGAAGTTGAGTCATTAATTTTCAGATAATGATTGTAGAAGGAAGATAAACCAGAATATGTGTGTAAAAATAAAAAAAAATTAAACAAAATTTTGTACCTTGTTTTATAAAGTATCCTCCCGACAAGTATTTCAGTGCGGACCTGTATTTGATCGTGAGGTCCCCTGTGAGGTCTTAAGTCACCTGATTCACGAGCCCGTTGTACTACATTAACAAAGGCACGAGGGGTTGGTTGCACTCGATTGGGAAACCGATTCGCATAAACATGTGCCATTTTTTATTTCGTTTGAGCCACGCAACAGACACTATTCACACGCTAACCGACAGACACTGACTGTATGTATAACTGAACTGAATAAAATACTTAATTGCAAAAACATCGTTCCAAATTCTTTCGCTTTTTTGTTTCCGATGCGATGAACCGGTAAGGCGGATTATATCCGTTGTTGCCAAACACGAGTACATGATATTATTATTGAGACAGGGCGGTACTCAAACTTCCAAAGGGCTATAACTTTGTTACTTTAATTTTACCAGAAAAATGGTAAAGGAAAAAAACATTTCTTTTGATCAGATCTACTCACTGTTAAAATAAATGACTCAACTTCGAAGTCACCCTGTATATCAAATTCACCACAAAGTCGAATATCGCCTATTTAAAAAATCAAGTGAAGTAAATTATATAATTTAAAATTAATCAATAAGTCGTATAGTTATATACGTAGTGTGTCAATTAAATTCCGGGAATTTGTCAATAAAAAAATAAGCAAATCAAATTTCACGTAAAATTTTATTATCGACCTGCACGATAGTCTTAACTCTAAACAACACTTCCATCGCTGCTCTGACGATTAAAAAAAAGTCGCAGGGGGCTGTAGGGTGGGTGGGGCATCGTTGGAATACCCTTGATGTTCGCATTTGTTTTTGTTCATGGATGAGAAGTTTTGGAACCATCGTTGCGCAAACCTCGCATGTTCAAATTCTCGTGTAACACATACACACTACACGCGTGTTTTCTCACACCACCTGCAATTTTCGAGGTTTCCTAAGGTTTTTCGCCAAAAAATTGGATCACAATCCGTGGCTTGTAATGAGAGTCACTCATATTCACGACGCCACTCGAGAATTCACAGAACACCCACAAAACTCAAACCACACGTACAATCGACTTCAGTTTTGGATGGTAACTCAAAAAGAGGGCGCTTCGGTCGGGCAGAAGTTGACAGGTGACGCAGTGTTGCCAGACCTCAAATTATTACTACATTCCCGGAATTTAATTGGCACATCACGTACGACAGATGTTTTAGTAGCGAATAAAAAAAACATAATGATAACAGTTTCATCGAGTATTCGTTACGATTGTTGTAAAATTTATTTGTCATTAATACGGTTGAAAATATTCCGAAGAAAGCAAAATTGGTAACTTATGGAGATAATCCGAAAGTGGGGCTTTATCTTCTAGTTTAGGTAATAAAGTAAAACGTTTTTAGCAGTCTCAGTATAACGGTTAGCCACTGTGTTATTGTGCTGCACGTGAAAATAGGTAATAGCGACACTGTTAGTCACTACAAGGAGTACTATAAACAATGTCATCGGTTCCACATGCACTTATTAGAGGCTTCCTGAGTTACTCAACAGACGAATAATCTTTCAACGCATTTCAATCGATTGACATTTGTCAAACCTGCTGGAGTAAAGAATTAAATATGTAACATCTCTTGCGTTTTGTAATTGACGCGCGTTACATGGTACCCAAATTAAGTGATTGTATCACAATGGGCTCAAATCATTTAAAAAAATTATTTGTTTGATTGGAAGGATCCTTTCTTCAGTAGGAATCGTCTGGTAATGATCACTTAGTAGTTTTGCGATGCGTTATCTTGGGAATGGATATTTTTTTAATTATTTACACTAAACGCTGTTGTGCAACCAATGACATTTTATAATACTTTCAGGGTATTGTAAATACTAGTCTAATTCGCAAGCCATTGCTGGGGAAGGAGAATATTGCCGTTTGGATATTACGTAATTTCAACTAAACCCTTTGAACATGCTATAACTATAACCGCCTGAGCTGTACTTTGCATTACGTTTATGTGCTTTCTGGCATAAAACAAGATTTGCTCATCGTTCTAGCCCCAATACTGATTCTGTTTTCGTCAACGTTGAAAGGTCACAACTATGGACTTAAGTGCAATATGACACACGTACTAACCCATATCAAGCTAGTGTCTCACAATTTATTTAATATTCATATGCTTAGAAAATATACTTGCTTAGTTAATTATATCTAAGAAGTGATACCGTAAAATCATCTAAATATGGTCCAAAACTACATTCAATTTACTTTGTACGCTTATATATAAAAGTCTATTACCAACAGCGGGAAGGAATTTGATGTAGACTGTACCTTATTGAATTACTGACTATATGTAGTAGTTATTATTGCTTAAAATACCAACCTATTTTTTAATTTTTTTGTTAAATATTGGACCATAGTTGCATATGATGTTTTAACTATAGTCCAGATCGAATTTCACCAAGAAAACGTACGCGTATACGAATTTGGACTACAGTTGGAAGGGTCTCATGCAAAAATAGATATATTGAAAGTGATATCTGCAAAAAGAAACTACAAATTACAATCAATAATCTTATTTTTTTATTTATACAAGGTACAAATTGAGATCAATTTAACAAAACAGCCTACTAAAAATAAAATATTTTGTCCTCTTTTTCTGGCCATTTCCACAACAGTCCAGAACGGGCCATACATTTTACGTAGGCTCCTTCTTCTTCGATAGATTCTATCTGGCCAGGCCATAGTTCCCCCTCATACGCCACGACAACATAATCTTCCGGAACATATTGCAGCGATGCATTGTGAGGAGAACTATCATGCTGCTGTTGTATATTTTCATCTTCCCAATCGTCGGCTTCCTCATTTAGCGGGCCATCGGAATCTGAATCGTCAATAGTTTCCACTGCCTGGTCTTCTTCTGAATCTGTTTCAGTTTCCGAATCTGTTTTCTTCTTCTGTTTTTTTTTCTTTCTTCCATTTTTGTTTCTTGTAGAGGTTGAAGGTTCGGACAGGACTCTTTTGAGTTCTTCAGAAGATACGCGTTTTCCGGGATCTACATTCAATTTTCTCTTGCGACCTCCTTTTCCTTGACACACTACAGCTTGCCGCTTATTTTCAAGAAATTGGATGAATGACTCTCCGACGGCCTCTGGATCTAAGGTTGGCTCAGGGTGTTTGAACGTAGGAAGTCTCTCAAGCACTGGCTGTTCATTAGTTGGGAAAATCCCTGTTTTTATAAAGCCAGCTTTTAGGTTGTCTTCAGTTTTTGGTGCAATTTTTTCCCATAACTGATTAAGCAGTGAAGGGAATGTCTGTTTTGGAATGGTAGGCAAAACTTGACCTTCTCGCGAAGATTTCCATTCATCCAGTATTTTCCGCCAATGGACTTTGAGAGGTCGGAAGTATGCCACGTCCAGCGGTTGTGTAAGGTGTGTACTGTTAGGCGGCAATGCGACGAACGCTATGTTGTGGTCTTCGCATGCTTTGACTACCTTGTAGCTGAGATGTGAGCTTAAATTGTCTCCAATTATTACTTTCTTTCCTTCTTCTCTACTCAGTGCCGGTAACACTGTGGTGAAAAACCAATCTTCAAAACTATTAGCGTCAAACCAACCCGATTTAGATCGATTGTATCGAGTATTGGAAGGTCCTCCTTCGGTCCAAGTGTCCCACAAATGTTCAGCTTTGTAATTAACATATGGCGGTAACAGTTGACCTGCGGCATTTCCACACATCATCAGACTAAAGGCGGCTTTCGTTGAGTTTTTAATAGCCTCTGGATATTTTGTTCCACGTTTCGTTAGAACTTTTTTCTTTCCTGGGTCATCAACTAAATTAGTCTCATCGTAATTATAAATCAAGTGAGGTGGGATATTCTCAATTTCCATTTTCAAATGATTGAAATAGTTCTTGATAACTTCTTCATTTACTGCAGCTCGGACACGTTTAATATTGCTGCAGAACCTATGCGAAAGCTCTGATTTGTGTCTCTTTAAAAAAAGTTGAGCCCATGTACGACCTGGAAAATTATTTGAAAATTGTGGCACATTCCTTCCTTGCTTGTCCAAATATGTTTTCACTATGCATCGTAGGTCATATAAAGTGATTGGGAACCCAAAGTGACACATTTGGATGGCGTGATCGACGAATGAGGATTCTTCTTTCGTGGTGAATACACATTGCCGACCAGGTGGGCGAACACTATTGTTGCGTATTGCTTTTATTTTCAGAATTATTGAAGATCTTGGTATTTTATATTTTTCTGACGCCTCCCTTTGAGTTAATACTCTGTTTCCTATATCCGATAGGCACAGTTCCATCTGTCTGTCGCTATAATACTTGTATGGCCTGCCTCCTAGCTTTCTTCTGGACATTTTCAGTGAGTCATCCATCCACACCTGTAATAAAAATGAACTTCTAAATATGGTCCAAAAAAATCATAGGACTATTGTTGGAACCAAAGTACGAAAAATTATTATTTTTCGATTAATTTTTATAACAACACCTATATGTGAAAAACTATTTGCACAAAGTAGTCACTATTAGCTTACCTTCAAACAAAAACAAACCGCCAAACTCGGCACAAACTGCAAGTAATGTTTTCAAATAAAAGTTTCGTCATCCCTTAAAACACGCACCGACTTGTTCAATTTGTCGGCCGGATTGCCTTACCGAGCGGTGTTGCCATCTAGTTAGAAGCGCGGTAACTATCAGACTTATACCCATAGGCAATAATGATACACATTAAATTCACTTGGCGGCAGCACTTTCGAACTTTTAAAGACAAAAATGGACAGGTCATTTTGGATCATAGTTGTATAATAGGACTATAGTTGTATGATTTTACGGTAATGTTTTTATTGTTGAAACTTCTGATTTTGTTGGCATGCTTATTGTTGCGCTTAGTTTAAATTTATTAGGCAATTCTTATATAGAACGTTGATTGCGTTAAAACAAGGTGAATAGTCAATTTTGAGGTTTAAACTAATATAATGAATATTTGGATAATAAAATTACAGAAATATGAGAACACTAATAAAGTAAATATATTTACAAAATTGGAAAGATAATTTTTCGGGGATATTTTGTATGCAATCATAATATAGACAATTACTCAAAAGAAATACATCACTGTTACCTAAAACGAAACAATATGAAGTACTGGTTGTTGGTTTATAATAGAGTTGATGATTTTGGCAAAGCAAACACTACAGAAAGCATAGCATGCTCTGCTTTATGGTAAATTTTATAGCCAAGTGAGATTACGTACCTTTCAAACGGCATTTGTTTTGATAAACATGGTGACCACTGATAGTCCAAGTACCTGATCGTATCCTGATACCCAGCATCCCTTGCAATACTGTATCCTGCTAGCTTCAATCTACCATATGCATCTCCTCTGAAAGCAAAGCATGGTCTCCAGTTTTGGAATATTCTATCATATTGCCACATCTATCACCAGCTTTTGTGCTAGCTACTACACCATTTATAATGGGTATAACGTTCAATAATTAAATATACTTGTGTACACATTATAATAAATCCGTTTTAGGTGTTTCTAACCGTATGGTGCTTCATGGAAGGACCTCATTATTAGGAAATTATTTGGGCGGAAAATTTTGAGCCAGTTAACGTTAAAATATTTTATATGCGGACGAAAAGTAAAAATAAGTGGAACATCTTCTAGGACAACAAGGAACATTTTAAGTTTAATATTCATGGAATCCTCACCCGCATAATGTTTTATCCTGTAAGCACAAAATTTTCCGATAAACACCATATGATCTAAATACAACCTATATTCAAGAATCAAAAAATGGAGCCCAAATCTAGTAAATGTGGTATTTTAAGCAAATAC